TCCTCGGCAGTTCTATTGGATGACAGGTTTGTTATTAGTAGAAGCAGTTCATTTATGTTTACCTTTGTTCCTCGGCAGTTCTATTGGATGACATGTTTTTTATTAGTAGAAGCAGTTCATTTATGTTTACCTTTGTTCCTCGGCAGTTCTATTGGATGACAGGTTTGTTATTAGTAGAAGCAGTTCATTTATGTTTTGTTTCGGCAGTTCCTGGATGACAGTTTTTATTGGATAAAAGCAGTTCATTTATGTTTCCTTTGTTTAGTTCTATTGGATGTCAGGTTTGTTATTAGTAGAAGCAGTTCATTTATGTTTACCTTTGTTCCTCGGCAGTTCTATTGGATGACAGGGTTTTTTTTGAGCAAAGGTTTTTTATGTTTAGTCGGCAGTTCTATTGGATGACAGTTTTATTTAGCAGTTCATTTATGTTTACCTTTGTTCCTCAACAGTTCTATTGGATGACAGGTTTTTATTTTGTTCATTTATGTAACCTTTGTTCCTCAGCAGTTCATTGACATTTAGAAGCAGTTCATTTATGTTTGTTCTCCAGCAGTTCTATTGGATGACAGGTTTTTTATTAGTAGAAGCAGTTCATTTATGTTTACCTTTGTTCCTCGGCAGTTCTATTGGATGACAGGTTTTTTATTAGTAGAAGCAGTTCATTTATGTTTACCTTTTGTTCTCTCAGCAGTTCTATTGGATGACAGGTTTTTTATTAGTAGAAGCAGTTCATTTATGTTTACCTTTTTCCTCGGCAGTTCTATTGGATGACATGTTTTTATTAGTAGTAAAGCAGTTCATTTATGTTTACCTTTGTTCCTCGGCAGTTCTATTGGATGACATGTTTTTATTAGTAGAAGCAGTTCATTTATGTTTACCTTTGTTTTTTCTATTGGATGACATGTTTTTTATTAGTAGAAGCAGTTCATTTATGTTTACCTTTGTTCCTCAACAGTTCTATTGGATGACATGTTTTTTATTAGTAGAAGCAGTTCATTTATGTTTACCTTTGTTCCTCGGCAGTTCTATTGGATGACAGGTTTTTATTAGTAAAAGCAGTTCATTTATGTTTACCTTTGTTCCTCAGCAGTTCTATTGGATGACATGTTTTTATTAGTAGAAGCAGTTCATTTATGTTTACCTTTGTTCCTTGGCAGTTCTATTGGATGACAGGTTTGTTATTAGTGAAGCAGTTCATTTATGTTTACCTTTGTTCCTCGGCAGTTCTATTGGATGACAGGTTTTTTATTAGTAGAAGCAGTTCATTTATGTTTACCTTTGTTCCTCGGCAGTTCTATTGGATGACATGTTTTTTATTAGTAGAAGCAGTTCATTTATGTTTACCTTTGTTCCTCGGCAGTTCTATTGGATGACAGGTTTGTTATTAGTAGAAGCAGTTCATTTATGTTTACCTTTGTTCCTCGGCAGTTCTATTGGATGACAGGTTTGTTATTAGTAGAAGCAGTTCATTTATGTTTACCTTTGTTCCTCGGCAGTTCTATTGGATGACAGGTTTTTTTTAGTAGAAGCAGTTCATTTATGTTTACCTTTGTTCCTCGGCAGTTCTATTGGATGACATGTTTTTATTAGTAGAAAAGTTCATTTATGTTTCATTTTATTGGATGTTTTTTTTTTGTTCCTCAGTTCATTTAGTTCTATTGGATTGGATGATAGGTTTTTTATTAGTAGAAACGCAGTTCATTTATGTTTACCTTTGTTCCTCGGCAGTTCTATTGGATGACAGGTTTGTTATTAGTAAAGCAGTTCATTTATGTTTACCTTTGTTCCTCGGCAGTTCTATTGGATGACAGGTTTGTTATTAGTAGAAACAGTTCATTTATGTTTACCTTTGTTCCTCGGCAGTTCTATTGGATGACAGGTTTGTTATTAGTAAAACAGTTCATTTATGTTTACCTTTGTTCCTCAGCAGTTCTATTGGATGACATGTTTGTTATTAGTAGAAGCAGTTCATTTATGTTTAACTTTGTTCCTCGGCAGTTCTATTGGATGTCAGGTTTGTTATTAGTAGAAGCAGTTCATTTATGTTTACCTTTGTTCCTCAGCAGTTCTATTGGATGACATGTTTTTATTATAGAAGCAGTTCATTTATATTTTACCTTTGTTTAGTTTATTGGATAGTTTTGTTAAGCAGTTCATTTATGTTTACCTTTGTTCCTCAACAGTTCTATTGGATGACAGGTTTTTATTAGTAAAGCAGTTCATTTATGTTTACCTTTGTTCCTCGGCAGTTCTATTGGATGACATGTTTTTTATTAGTAAAAACAGTTCATTTATGTTTACCTTTTGTTCCTCGGCAGTTCTATTGGATGACATGTCTTTTATTAGTAGAAGCAGTTCATTTATGTTTACCTTTGTTCCTCAGCAGTTCTATTGGATGACATGTTTTTTTATTAGTATGTTTACCTTTGTTCATTTATGTTTACCTTTGTTTACTAAATGTTTGCGGGCTTTAGCTTAGTATGTGGTTGTGATTTAATTTTCCGAGGTTTTGAGTTTGAAGATCGTGGCCGTTTGTGGGCTCTGGCTTTACACCTCCATTTCTCTCAGTTCGTCAATTCGCTTTTTGTAGGTAGAAATTCACTCTGAATTTCTGGTTTTTGTTTTGTTGGTTTCGTTTTTTTTTTTTTTTTGTGGTAATTTCTGTTACGGGCGGATATGCGTTTCGCAACATATTGCGGTCGGATATTCGTTTCGCCACGTGTTAAGGGCGTTAGTAACGTCGATTTCTGAATGTGGTAATACCATGCTGTCTTCTGAAATACCCACAACAAAAAGAGCGCTTTCGGGATATGAGTGCCCTTGAAGAAATATAACGAAACAACAATAAACAATTTATATGTACAAACCAAATTAATATGTATTAATAATAAAGCTATACATTTGACAAAAAACCAAGATGTGTCGAACAAAGTAATGTGGAAACTGTTTCGGTCCAAAATATGTGAAGTTGGTGAATGTGCGTATATACCCGTATTATGTATGTGCGGTTCATGCCTTTTCTCCAAGAGATTTACATGTTGACGTGTAAGCTAACAAGGTAAGAAAAGACGACGAAAAATTATCGCAGAGTATTTATAGTACGGAGAGCGTACCCTAAGAGCAGTTTATGAAAGTAAGGGCTGGTAACCCGACAATACTCCACTCCAAATTGGTAGAATATTTTTCAGCCCATTATGTAAATTACGTGTAGGTTTGTTCCTGTTTTAGTGAGCTGAAAAGAAAAGGTATCACAAGTGTGGCTATGATGCATATTTAAGCTTGTCGACGAAAATTGGCCGGTGGGATGTTATTTTATTTTCTCTAGCGAGTCAGAATCGAATCACGTCCTGAAAGATGCGTCGGTAGTGTAAATTGTTCAGCGTTTTCTATTAAAATTTTTCTTTCACCAATGCTCTACGGTGAATTGGTTTTGTCGTCCCATCACAGCGGTTTCTGGTCGTTGTTCGGGGTTTTGCTTGAGAAAGGCCTCGTTTTTATTGCTATGCGTGGCTAATTTTAACGCACAGAATTTAATAGAAGCAGCGTTGTGGCAAAGTTGAAGTGATTTAAAATATCACCCGAGTGTCAAATGTTTGAGAACTTTAAGAATTTTTTTTTTATTATTATTTCGATTTCTAATCGTACTTGCAAATTCTATGTGCTGTTCGAGTGATATCGTCGCAGATTAAAAATGGACAGTGAGTCAACTTTTGAGGTATGTTACACTTTATCTGATGACCCCAAAAGAAACAGTGTTGTTTGAAGTTGAGATCAACTCGAGTGTAATGGCGCCGTGTTTGCTGTTTTCTAGAGTCAATATTTCCAAATGACTGAGCAGTCTGTATATTGACTCAGGATGTCAACGTAGACTGCATTGACGGAGCATTGTAACTGTAATTAAAAGGCGATTAGCGATTTCTTTTTTTCAGGTCCCACGTGTTGCAAAATAAAAGTATTTGCAAAGTAGGAGAACATCATGCGTTGTGCACATATGTAGTAGTGATTGAAATTTGGGAATTTGTTTTTTCATAGGGTCTAAGCACAAATTTTGTTAACTGTGTAAATTCTTTTTGCTATAAGTTTATAGTTTCCGGCTTTGCGTCACAGGGTAAAAAATAGATGTTTGTCGATGATTTTCTTCACTGGCTCTCGGTTTGAAAAAGGTATGCTAATCTATATTTGAGTCTGTACATATATAGTGTTGTTTGTTTCTAGTTTTCAGGAGTGAAATATTGATCAGGTCGGGGTCACGAAATCTTGTAGCGGAAACTCGTCCCTGTAACAATTTTTAAATCAAAGACGTATCCGCTAAAACTTCACAAAAAAAAGAAATATAAATAATCTGATATGCCAAATGCAAGAACAACGAAAGACGAAGTATTCAAAAATAAATGTTAGCCAAAATTTATTCTTAGCAAATTTAATACAAAACTGGAAAGAAAAATGCAATTGTTAAATTTGTATAGAGATCCGTAGAAAACATATATGGCTGATTAGTAAATCGAAAATCTAGTAATGAACAAAGCTCAAAATAGATTGACCAGAAAGTTTATATAATAAGCCACTGACGTGAAAGACTGTCCTATCGGTGATTCTATAGAAATCAGTAAAATATGTATAGAATGAAGTTCAGAGGATGATATGTATATTACTAACCGGGAATGTTGATTCCCACAAAGTAGAAATCAGTAATGTCGACGGCTAGTACAAAATGAATAATGTTGATTCAGTGGAGAAAATATCCATCGTAACTGGGACAGACCATAGTCAAAACATAGTAGATTCAGCCAGCTGACATGAGCACTTCTCAAGTGCTAAGTAGGTTCAAGTACGATAAACTAAGTTAGTTGACATGCGCGGATGAAATCTAGACTAACCGCCATTCAAAGAAGATTGACTGAGTCTATATACTTGCACAGAAGAATTCTAGACATGTCAACGTTCCTGATCGATTAACTGAATCAATGTACCTGAGGAATTGTTCGAAAAAAGTGAAAAGATCAGCAACTCTCCCGCGAAAAATTTGGAACAGTCGATTTTTCGAGGAGAGGTAAGCTGTGGGCACAGGAAACCAATATGTTCGCCAACAGCAAACGTTGGGGGTAAAAAAAAAAAACACCAATGTGCTTCGGTATGGTTTGGTATATGGCCAGCATGATTGCTTTGAGGGTAAGATGACGAAGACCTACGGAAAAGATTGGTGTCGCGATCAGTACGTATACACAGGTAGGGCGATGACGATGAACTCCAAATAAGGTTGGTGGAGCGAACATACGAATACTCTGGGAATATGGTGACGAAGAATCTAGAAGGTTAGTGTTGCGACAACAAATAACTGGCGACATAGCAGATGTCCGGAACGGTAGATTGTAAGCAGAAGATATCTGGGCCGCGGATGATCGCAGAAATTCCCGTATCGAGCGGCCTCTCACAGTAGTCCAGGGATCGTGAACAACCGCTGAAAATACCGGAACTTGATGTTTTGCTAGCGAGTGTAGATACCGTTGAGAAGCACTGTAGCTACAGGAAAGAGATATCGTGCGCTGGGTGTGTAGATACGGTTGAGAAGTTCTGTAGATAACGGTTCAAGAGGTCATGCGGAAAAAGGAAGAATTTTCCTAAAAAGACATTTAATCAAGGAAAGGCAATGATTTAATCCCGAAAACGATTCTCAAAGCACAGGTCAGCATATCATACGTCCACTTCGAAAATAGATCGTAACCATAACCAGGCAGTCCGAGGGCCGTACGGGGGTTCGGCTGATACAATAGGAGCCTGTAGCAAAAAGGCGGCACATGGCGGTTAGAGACGACATATTGCAAAATCAAAATTTAACTTGGCGAAAAACAATAGGAATCTTTAAATTCTCTCGCAAGGATATGCAAGAAGGTATTATACTGTTCCGAAGAACAAGGTGGCTAAACAACCAAAAGCCCTCCTCTACTTAAAAGTGCATCAAGCACATAAGCTGGCTCATCATAAGGAGGCGATCTATTTGGGCCGCTGTTTTTATGGCATTAAAGTGGTTACAACATAATTCGTAAATGCTTCTAGTCATAATAGTAAAATGACAAATTGCTCAAGATTACAAACTATACTACGAAAAGAACAGCGATAATATAAATAATGACTGATGACAGGGATAGTATAAATAATGACTGATAATGCATGTAATTTTTTTGAATTTGTTTTGAAAATCAAACAAAAATGAAAAGAAAGAAGACGAAAGGCAGTTACAGAAATAATCATATATCTTATTTGACATATCACATTTATATAACTGTATTACAGTAAAGTGATTATATATATATATATATATATATATATAAATAAAAAGAAAGAACAGTAAGATATAAAATCCGGTGTTCTTATAAATATTTTATTTTTACAAAATAGTGCTCAATGTAAATTTACAGAGCATTAATATTTTAAATCAATTAATATATATATATATATATATATATATATATATACACTACGTTTATAGAATAATGTCCATATTATAGACCTAAAGATTGTGGACATATGAGTAATATTCCTTATGGTGTATCGACTATATATGATATTAATATAATCTTGCATGTTTCATTGAGGCGTAAATATGTAAGTCCCCATACACGCACACGCACCCCTGTGCATATATATATATATATATATATATATATATGTGTGTGTGTGTGTGTGTGTGTGTGTGTGTGTGTATATTAGCCTTCATACTAATCTATTTTTCGACTTACACAAAAAACACGTAATATTGGAGGAAATAAGACATGGTACTAACAGGTTTAAAAAAAAAAAAACAATCTAAAATGGGTTAAAGTTAATTGTAGCAATTTCTCGGCCAAGACATTTTTTTCTTTTGCTTCATCAGACTGCAGGATTCGTGACAATTTCCATAATTAATTTTAGCACTAGCTTGATTTGCAGAGTTGGCTTTTCATCTGGTTATAACTTTTATTAATTTATCTATCTATCTATCTATCTATCTATATATATATATATATATATATATATATATATATAATAAAGTTAAAATTAGAAATATGTCGAAGTACTTATACCGATATGCACAGAAAACATTTTCGTTGAGAAAAATAGCATTAAACGTTTCCATTTAAATTTGAGAATATTCAAAAATAAATTCGAAGAAATCATGAACGTTACCGAAAGGAAGATAAATATGGTGGACAAGAGAATCAAGGACGAATGCCAAATTGGATATTACTAGAAACAGCGACTCTTTTTCGCTTTGGGTGTTTAACCAATCCCTTATGAAGACACTTGCTCAAATATATTTTTGTTTATTAATCATTCACAGAACCCCACATTTTGTTTATACAGAAACTATGCTGAACAGACATTAGTTACACTTTGTGGGAGTGAGAGAGAATAATATTGCTTGCTCAGCTGTTTGATCAACGTCAGTATACTCAATTTGAGTTCTGACTTCGTTCTAGCACGATCATCGACTCCTTGGGAACAGTTCCGCCGACGTAGTTTCACTTAAACAAGTTGTTTTGGGCAACACGTGGTATGGTTTTCAGACACCTTCCAAAGTTTCCACACGTAAAAATATTTATACAAATGAATATACGATACAGTGTAACCCGGATATAAGAGACCCGGATATAAGAGAGTTTTTCTCTCGTCCCAAATTAGAGCATGTGTTAATGTATATAAAATAGACCAAACCCGGATATAAGAGAAACCCGGATATAAGAGACTACTTCTCCGGTCCCGACAACACTCTTATATCCGGGTTACACTGTATATACACTGCCATATAAGAGAACAGATATTACGTAACATTTCAGAACTCTTTATTTCTTACAATATTTTGCTTTTTAATTCTTTGTTCATACATTCCATATTAATGGCAGACAAATTATACATTACGAAAAAAACCGACTACTACGGTCAGGATTTTCTTTTGATAATATGTGTAGGGTATTTTCAAAGAATTATATTAATTTTTAAATGAAAAAAAATTGTAATGATGACAAATTTAGCAAATGTGTCAGTTTATATCTCTGGGAAAAAATCAACTCAACTCTTTTCGTACTGACTCATGATATGTCTTGTTCATTTTATTTGAAATTATATATATTTACGATAGTAAGATTAGATTGAAAACAGGCTCAACTCTCTGGTAGTGACAAGCGTTTTGCGGAAACTCACAAAGTTGTCTGCAGTTCAGTTTCTTTTTTAGGCTGATATAAAATTGTCATTTCTTCTTAAAAAATTAACCTACAATTCAAATTTATTCAATTACGTATTCAACTTTACTTGCAATGACTCATTGCCAATTACCAGAGAGCTCTTCAAAATAGATTTTGATATGAACGTATTTCAACAAGCTATTGAATCTAGTTTTCATTAAATAACATTTCTCATATCAAATATTTTTGCAGTAATCGAAAAAACGTAATAATCGGTTGGTCAAATGTCACTTGAATATGGACTGTCGGGTAGAACAGACCAAATGAGTTGTTTTAATCATTTCAGGCGTAGTAAAGCAATAAAGCCACAAAGATATAAATGTTAAGTAAGGGTGAGTGAATGAGAAAAATATTAATCAGCGACAATAATAAAAGATCAGGAATTAAGAAGAAAGAAATAATGACTGATAATGCATGTAATTTTTTTTGAAAATCAAACAACAATGAAAAGAAAGAAGACGAAAGGCAGTTACAGAAATAAGTCCGAGAGAATAAATTATAAGAAAAGAACTTGCAATTATATCTAGCCATTTCAACTGTAAAATAATGAGACCTTCCTGCTAATCTAGTACTGTGATTCAACTCATGAAATTTAGATACCAAATAGAAAAGTTCGTCAGAACAATGGCCATGAAAGTATTTAGAGAAAATGAGGCTACGATACGGCGAGTGTAAAATGAGCGAAGAAGATATGCAAGGCCAGGACAATAATATTGCCGATTTCTTTTGTATTTTTGTATTTTATCGAGAATATCTAAACACGTGTCAAAATCTTCAGAATATATTTGGAAGCAATATTCCAAATAATTTTTCTTTGTTATTATTGTTGAAGGCGACCTTGATTATCGTGGAGGAGAAAGTAACTTTTCCTTTCATCCAATGTGTCTGCATATATACATACATATATATATATATATATATATATATATATATATATATATATATATATATATATATATATATATAACCTATACTTTGAAATCTTCGCCTATAAGTGATTGAATACCGAAAGTTTGAAATCAAGGTAAAGTGATTATATATCTAATTGTTTTTCTATATATATATATATATATATATATATATATATATATATAAACCTAGTGTGCCAGACAAACCTACCCAGGTTTCACGTAAGTGGATCGTCAGGGAAATTTGGCTAAAGAGGCAAAAGAGAAACAGCATATTTATAGGCGACAATCAAAATCATACCACATGACCAAAGAAAAAGTGAAAAGAAGAAAAACAATGGCGGTGTGGGTGGGGGTAAAGATTTATTTAAACGACCAAAAGGGGAGGGGATATTTAAAATACACGAACAATAAAGGTGGAATGACAATACAAACGAGGAGATTAGACTAGATTTTCTATGCCTACATAGGTTAAGAATCTCGGTTTTAGAGTTTAATAGAGCGTTAGGTTGATGATATAAAGCTATGGCTGATTTCTCCTCAGTGCATAGCTTACAACAGTTTTGGCCTGCTTTATATTTGGCACATTTTTTTATTATTTCCCATTTAAGGATGGGGTCTTTATTGTTTTCCATACATAGGTGGATAGCGTGGTACAATGTTTAGTTTTTTTTCGATTTTAAAACTACTCGTGTGGTTATAATATCTTTTTTTAAAAAATATCCTGAGTAGCACCTATGTATACATTAGGGTTTGTATCCTCCATATCCTTATGAATTTTCGCCTGGTAAACCACGCACTCTTGTTGACATTTTCCCTGTAAGGGGCAGATATTTTTATTCCTACAATTGCAACTAGGAGGGCTACTGCTTTTTTATCCTTCGTGTTTGATTTGATTATTGGCAAATCAAAAATTCGAAGTTTTTCGAAATGAGTATAGTTACCTATATATATATATATATATATATATATATATATATATATATATATATATATATATTCTTGGATAGACTGTATCATTTGATCAAAAGTTGACAAGAACCTTATGGTCAAGACCTCGGTCACGATGAATTGTAATTTCGTGCTAGGAGAAACATACAAGTCTTCGGAATATTTCCATTTATCAACTTTCACACGCAAGGCTCGCATCAAATTTATATCAACTTTGCTGTAGTTGTTCTAATTATTGCGTATGTTTAATATGAATTAGAAATCATATTTTAAGATTTAAGTTTAATTTCTAAAATTCGGTTGTAGAGTGTTACTATTGTTCTCATCTTTTTGAATACCGTTTTCTTCAGAAGATGGCTCGTATTTCCATAGGGATATATTATATACGTTCAATACAATTCGCTTAATATGTGTCTTTCCTCTGATTCCAATATGAATATAAATATCGAACATATTCCCAGAAGCGGATATTATGATTTCGATGTTGCAATAT